TTCAATTTATAAATCTAAACCAATACTCTTCCAGCATACATGGGGAACAAAACCCTCAACTGGGACAAACAACTACCTACAAAGTAACCTACAAAACTTATACGAACCTTTCCAGTTCCCTAACCAAAATAAACAGCCATCAAACTATTTCACTTTCCCTCATCTCCATTCTCGATACCACATACCCAGCCTGTCGTGTATCCTTCCCAAACCGCCCCGCGTTCCACCCTCACGGCTACACTTCCCATTTTAATGAACACACATTTAGCCCTCCGTCTCAAAATCCAACAACCCCAACCCACCTGAACTTACAGGTAACATTACAACCTACCTCCTTAACCAATCACAACGTGAACCCCATAAAAATTTGTACACCCGTCTTAGTATCCCGCTATCGCCTGTCCATGTAATTGGACAAGCTGCAAACATACCAAACCTTACTTTACAATAAAATGTTCACGGACTATCATCGCTGTATCAGAGTTAGGTGATGGGGTTCAGAACAACCTAGGGACGTCCCCACGATCCTCTTCCAATAACCCATATCCGAATTTTCCTCCCGCGCCCGCAACCATGTCATCCCTAAAATAATACCACAAATCTTTAAGGACACCGCCCATTCTTTAACTACATTACATCTCCCCCACCACACCCCCCCACCAAGAACCCAAACCCCATGCACCTTGACTTCGCACTATTTACTGCCATACCGTGGCACTTCCAAATATTTGCACCACCTGTCCAACACTCTCATTGACATCCCTGCACGAAAGAGAACAGTGGTGTCGTCAACATATCCAGTAACCCCGGCCAGGCCCTCCCACCCCCCACATTCCAGCACATGGCGTTAATATGCTACGGTCAACCTTCATATAAAAGGGGTCCTGGAGGAAACACGCAAACAATATTTGGGACATGGGGATCCCTTGTCTAAGGCATCTTCCACAATTGCAATTTCCCCCCCATACTACCTTATTCCTGTATCCCTCATTTTAGACCCCCTTGTACACGTATTTACCACATTCGACTATTTCCTCCCCAAAACCCGTCTCCTAAGTTATAACCTGCAAAGCTCCCCTTTTTCCCACTCGATATTTTTCCAGTATATGATCCCTGCCAGTCTTGAGACAACAAAGGCCGCCCCTCCACCCCACCCTTAGCTTTCCTCAAACTTATCAGTATCCCATTGTCCTTCATAATCATGACCTATTCCCCGGCAACCCGAACGGGTATTTTGACACCACCCTCGCCACTACACATGTGCAACCCTATTACCTAAAATTTTTGCAAGACACTTATAGTCTGCACAACAATTCAGTGATATGGCTCTGGTACTCCCGTGGGTGGGCTGCCCCTTGACCTTCGGGACCAGAAACTACTACTGCTGTTTCCTGCTTCTCCCCCAACTTACCCTTCTCCTTCATACTATTAAATAACCTAACTATAAATTCCTTTATCAACGCCCAATGTGTAATTAAAATTCTACCGGGGACCATAAATACCGGGAGCTTTCCCCTTCCTCATTCCCCTTAACGCTTTTCTCTATTTCCTCTGCCGTAATCGTCCCACCTAAGCCTTTCGATAAATATTCCTAAATTACACGTCACATACTACACACCTTGTCCAATGCCCCGTCCCCCACCCCCCCACTGTTTTCCCGTATTTCTCGTACCAAGCTCCGCATACGGGACACATCCCTTCGTGGTTCGTATCTCCTGCCCTACTCTATAATTCCAACCATCTCCGTTACCTCTAAACATGGTTAGCCGTCAGCGCCTGCCTTTGCTTTTGATGCCGCAAAACACACGCTGACGGCTTGTCGCCCCAAAGCACTTCCTCCACCCCTGCCTGCATCCTTACAGCTTGAAACCTTTCATTTTGCAACACCCTCAACCTCCCCTTTATTTCAGCTATTTCATCCATAGGAAAATTATTCCCACCCCCCCCCCCCCCCCCCCCCCCCCCCCCCCTATCCTCTAAATAGTTAGCCAGTCCATATTTTAAATTATTAATACGTTTTCTTCTCTCACATAAAACTTTCTAATCCTTTCCTTTGCGACACTATCCCACCATGTCACAATGTCATCCACTCCCTGTTCTTCCACACTAAGCTCCCTCCATAGGACTGAAAACCCCTCCAACCCCTCCTCATCTCCTAACACACTTATATTTAATTTCCAATAACTTCTATATATGTCCGCGAGCGTCCCCCACCCAACCTCCACCACCACTGCCCTATGATCTGACATTGTAGTCTCAACAGTACTGAAAGATTTCACGTCACTCCCTGAGAAAGGTACACTCTATCTAGTCTCGCAGCATAACCACTCCTAACAAACGTATATTCAGTCTCCACACCGCTCCCCCAAAGGCATCACGTAACCTAACATCCCTTAATAAATCCCTAAGAGCCACAGACATATATCCACTCCTCTTGGGTCCACATCAGCCACCCTGATTACACTATTCCAGTCCCCACCAACTATCGCCACCTCTGGCAGTGCACTTAGAAAAACACAAGATCCTCACACACAAAATCATTCTTTACCTTATGTTATTTTCTGCCGGCGCATACACACTCACAAAAGACACACGCTTACCCATCCACCACCCATCCACACGCAACACCCTCCCTCCCCCTCCTCCCTCGCTTCTCTGCAAAACAACGGGCTCGTCTCCTTATTAAAATTCCCACACCACCTTTTAGACGGGGAGATGGCAGGGTAACTACCCGAAATCCTGCCACCTCCAACACCCTACCCTCTTTGAAATTGTGCTCCTGCAGGAACACAACATCCACTCTAGATTTATTCAGAAAATTACGAAACCAATCTCTCTTCATACCGCTACATAACCATTAACATTTACAGACATACACCTAAGGCCTATTAAAGTTTCCACCCTGCTTCCTCTCATCACTCTTTACAACTCCAGAGCTTGAATTTACGTTCAACACCTTCAGAGTGCTCTCTTTCCCTCCCCCCTTCTTCCGGTGCCTCCTATCATGGCTACCACCACCTACACCACTACCTCACACTTCACCTCAGTCTTTTTCCCAGGCCTTTGTGCAGGCGTAAGGACGTCATCAGAATCTGATGTAGCCGCCCTCTTTCTCGTGACAGTCATGTTACACATATCTTGATCAGATGTTACCTCTCGATGAACCTCCACCTCCAACTGAGAATGGTGTAATGAGTCAAGTGATGACTCCAAACCACCATCACGTCCCAATTATCATGTCTCAGACTTTCCTGGAAGCGACGATTCTCCAATGACACCACGCTCAGATGTAACATCCCTCTCTGGTGGTGACAACGTCTTCAACACCTTCCACCAATTCTCCTCAATCTCAAGAACCTTCTCTTGTACTTCGCTGCTCCTCCTTATCCACAGTAGACGACACCTGATCAGGCAGGTGGGGGCGGAACCCAACTCACCACCCAGTCCTGTGTGCCCAACCACTATCGTCCGCTCCACAAAACCCCTAGCACAACGCCCCCTCCATCCGATGTTTGTTCCTCACCTGCCACCTTTGGAAGCAGGGGCTGCGACGTCCACCACAGTCCAGCACAATGTCTTCGCTTGTCCACAGTGTCGCCGATATGTGATCATACTCACCACATATAGGCGCACGAACGTCGTTGTCCTGGACATTACCAATTACCTGCGTCTGAAATCTGTAGGTACACATAGGATGATTTGGTGCCTCAAAGTCATTTGAGGTTGAAATAAACACTCTGGAAACCAGCATAGGCTCCTGCCGCCACGTACCATGTTGACATAATGCACCCATCCCATACATCTCAAGAACTTTTCTTATATCTGCCTCGCCGCCTCAAAGGAACGTTGCGTAACTTGATCCACGTATATACCGTGAAACATCTATCATTCTTACAGTGCCAGCTGGTGTGACGTTAAGACTCAGTCCTGAACCTGGTGATTTAACGATTCATAAACCGTTGGCTGTGCAGTTTGACGAAAAATCGTTGTCCTCCGTTCAATGCTACACCATACAAGTCACAATCTTGTACTCCATAAGTCTCCTATGATCTTTGGCAATAAGACTTGCGCAGAACTGGTCGTAATCGTATCCATTAAGTAGCTCGATGCCTACAGTATTTATCCTTCGTCTCAGACTAACCGCCATCTTGACGATCGCAGTGCACCTAAGTTGTTAGCCGAGGGTGACAGCACACTTCACCCAACTTGCAGCCATGGACGACATCGTCGCACGCCTACACAACAGCATATGGGTGCAGAGCGCTACCGCACAACTACCGTGACCGCAGCGAATGTGCTTGGACATAAGTTATTCCTCGATGACGCACTGACTTCTTGGGTTTATCCTGGTTGGCTAACCCTCCCATGGTTAAAATCCGAATGATTTAAACTAATATTAAATTCCATCGAATGTAAATAGGTAAAAGTCACTTAATTTAAATAGTTTCACACATTTCACATTAAAAAAAAATATTTTTTGAGTTGGTAGAAGCCTAAACACATATTACTGACATACATGATAATTATTTATTTTATTATGAAGTGAAACGGTAAAGTAAGGAAACCTCCTCAGCTTTATATTGATGGTGACAGAGAAGAAATGAAAGTTTAAGTTATTTAGAGGTAGAGTTAAACGAATTGTCATACATAGTAACGTATGTTAGCTAGGAAAGCCGAAAAAAATCAAACAACTTTCTTTTGGTGTTCCCTGTAGTATAGGAGAAACCTCACAGATAAGGTTCGGCTCCACACAGTGGGCTGTATATCGAACTCATCTTTTTAGCTTGTGAGAAAGGGGGTTTGTGGATATAAAGGTGAGTAGTGATGAGTAAGAAATTTTTTTAATAAATTGCAAACATATGCATTAATCTACGCAAAAACTTTGTTAAGAAGAACAAATATTTTTCGATCAGCACTTTCAAAATCTTACAAAATAGGACTTTGTAGTAAAGCTGTGAGCAGTCATCCGCGGTAGGGAAAGCAGTGGAGGCCTGAAGATCATACTTACCTGGCACAGGAGATACCGTGATCACGAAAGGCGGTATTCCCAGGGGCGAGGCTCAACCATTGCAACTCCGGTGGTGCTGCCACCCTGCGATTAACCCAAATGTGGTTAACTCGAGTGCGAAATTTTTGGTTATCAGGGGACTGCGTTTCGCGCTATCCCCTTATTAGACACAATTTGAATTTGTTATAGGTTTGTTTTCCTTTTCTTCATAGAAAAAATATCCCATTGTTTGACTTATTGTCTTGAATATAAATCCCAATGTTAGCTTATTGTGGAAGAAAAATTTCTAACATAATAAGTGGTTATACTCATTGTAGAAAAAACAACCCTAAAGAGGTTATGCCAAGCACTTTAGGATAAGATAAGCATTCCTCCAGCGGGATGGCGAACCAATTTTTTTTTTCGCGGGGGATGGTGAGGATCAAGTGTCCACCAGCATCATGCAAACCCCCTCCATTATATGGTGTTTGTGGTATATCAGGGCAGAAAACAACAGTGTTTTTACGGGTCTTAAACCAAGTATGAAGCTAGTTTCATACTACAAAAAATCTCTATGTTGTAAAGTTCTTCAAGGAATCCTTGATGCCGGTGAAGGGCTTTTGATTGAAAGTAAATGAGATCTATCTTTTCCTTCCTTGGTATAGCCTAATGCTTCCCAATGTCCACCAGGCGCTATAGAACCTCCATATTAAGTACACAACGCTTAGCTTCGAGGAATTTCTCTAAATATTACATTGAAGAAAAAATTATTACGGATTTTAGCCCAAAGGTTATTCCACGTTTACTGTACCCCCTCGGGGGTGGTATCCGTATTCAGCTCAAACAATGAGTGCATGGTCACATCCTCGATGTGGGTGAAACATTGGCATCTTTATCTACACTGCTGTCCCTGTTTTCAAATAGCTGCAATAGATACTCTGGGTATTACCAACTAGTGTGGGTCGCATCCCTAGGGTACAAATTAACCTAATTGCCCATAAGATTGCATAACCTGGAGTGTTTACTATATAGCATGTCAGTGATGTCATCTTGAATGATGAGTTGTATCATGTACTTGTGAAAATATAATTTTTATTGTTATTATAATGCCAGTGCATCATCGAGGATGGCGTTTCCATCGCCAGGCAGCTGAAGCTCTTGCTTTACACCGCGAGGGTCTGGGTTTGATTTTCAGCGAGAGTAGAAACATTTGGCATGTTTATACTGGTTATTAATGCTCACCATCAGTAAAATGGGTACCTGGTAGTTAGTCAACTGGCTTGGGTCACATTCTGGGACAAAACTAACCTAATTTCCCCAAAATGCTCTTCATAACAAGTGGCTTTCTGTATAGTAGTATGTCATTGATGTCAGCTAGGCATGTATACCTTGTACATGTATTTTTTTTTTTTTTTATATTTTATTTAGAACAATACAATACAAGAAATAGATAAAGACAAAAACAGGTCTTACACAGGATAATCATGAACAACCACACAAACATGAACTTGAGATAACACATATATCCCTCCTCACCCATACATGAAAACCCCTACACCTATGATAACCAATAACCAACTAATTCCAATTGCATTGTTATATGATTAACAAAACACATCATTATATACATATATTGTCACTTGTAAATTATAAAGTAAGACACCGTATATGTTAAATACAATTAACGTACTGTATTGAGAATAAGGTAAAAACAATATGTTCATCAAACACAGAATATATTAATAAACAAGGATCCAACACACTGACACCTCTACAATCATCTAACAACATGCATAAGAGTAACATACATAGAACAATGTCCTACTGCAAAATCAAACACATATATTGAGTATACTCATCACAAACCATGAATACCACATCATACGCCCAAGTTCATACACATTCACACCCGCTACATACCAGGAGGCGACCCCGTTTCCAACCCTGACAGGCCATTAACATAAACATTATACCATCCCTAACCCTGCCCCACCCACCTAATTTACAAATTTAATAAAACCTCTAATGTAATGTCTCTATATCCCTCAGAGAAATCCCGCTCCTACCTCCTCCCATAAAGTTCTCTATTGCGGCACAACGTTTTTATAAAACGTAACAGCCAATACCCTCCTCTTCACCTCACTTACCCCTTTCCCCCTCATTCCCCACATAATGTAGACATAATCTACCATAATGTACCCCACAGCCCTAATAATACTTTCATCCATACCCCCCACATCAAGACTCAATGCCCGCAGAACAGAGAAGTATTGACCACTTATCTTATGCAACACCCTGCTCAACCAACCCCTGACGCTCCCCAACCCCTCACAAAAAATACACTACATGGAATGCAGAATCCTCCCCGCCACATATTCCACATACCCCCCCCCCTCAACCACCCGTCTAGCTCGTAAGACCACTCCCGATGGTAAAATCCCATGCAAAAACCGATACATCACCTCACGTCCACGGGTTGTAACCTTAACCTACCAACCTTCTCCATATACATCCCAGTCATACATGGGAAAATCCCCTCCACCGGAGCCACAACCCTTTCCGCCGATATCCTACACAGCCTACTTATTTTTTACCTTACCCAGATCCCTAAACCATCACTGCTGCCCTCAAAATAGTTTCACACTCCCTCAACTCCGTCCCAGAAAACATGCGTTTCAATTTATTGTGTACCTTAACCAACCCCCCCCCACTCACACCCTCCCTCATCACCTCCCTTTTAATAAAGATACATTTGACCCTCCTCTTTAAATTCATTAAACCCAACCCCCCCTGACGCACAGGTAACATTACTACATCCCTTCTAAGCCAATCACAACCTGAACCCCCACAAAAAATTTAAAAACCCCTCTAAGTATAGTTGCAATTGCCGTCCCCGTTAAAGGGAAACACGGCAGCTACATGCCAAACCTTGCTATACAATAAAACGTTAATTACAATGGCACGCTGCACAAGGGTCAAATGATAAGGCCGCAATGCTCCCAATCGACCCAGTATCCTTTCTACCAACCTGACCGAATTATTAACACGTGCAACCTCAAGATCACTTGCATAATTAGACCACAAATTTTTAATGACATCACCCGCTTCTTTACGACTGCACTACCCCACTCGACCCGCTCCCCCCAAGTTCCTAACCCCATAACCATGGACTTCTCCGAATTTACCCTCATACCAGTTGCACATGCAAACGTGTCGACCACTCCATCTAAGGCTTTTATGGACATCCCTTCTCTAACCAATACAGTGGTATCATCTACATACCCTATGAGAACAGGCCAAACGCCCCGAGTACCCCCCCCAACCCTTTCACTAACGCCCATATGGCGCTCCACCATTCTATAAAAGGGGTCCTGTATGCATGCAAATAAAAGCTGTGACATAGACACCCCTGTCTAAGACCTCTGCCCATGACAATCCTGCCCCCTAATCTTCCATTAATCTGTACTCTCACCATTGCCCCTCTATATAACGCCTCTACCCATCCCACTATTTCCTCCCCATAGCCCTGTTTCCTAAGGATAGCTCTCAACGCCTCCCGCTCCACCCTATCATAAGCTCCTTGCCAGTCTAGTGCAACCAACCCCCCCCCTTCCCCCCCTTTTTTTCTTCCACGAAAATCCCTTAAAAGACCATGTCCCACCCCCATAGACCTACCTGGCAACCCAAACTGGGTTTCCGATACAACCCTCCCTACAACACACTTGAGCCTATTTCCTAAAATTTTTGCAAATAACTTATAATCCGCGCATAACAACGATATTGTTCTATAGTCCCTGAGCGAACGCTGTTCCTTACCCTTCGGTACCAAAACAACTACAGCTGTTGCCTGTCTTTCACCCAACCTTCCCCTTACCTTCATCAAGTTCAGTAACCTCACCAAAAAACCTTTTATTAACTCCCAATGCTGTTGATAAAACTCCGCCGGCAGTCCATCGATTCCCGGTGCTTTGCCCTTTCGCATGGCACTCAAAGCTCTCCATATTTCCCCCTCAGTTATGTCCCCCCCCAAAGCTTCCCTATCACTGTGTCCTAACCTACATGGCACACTTCCACACACCCTCTCTAAATCCCCTAAACCTACCCCTTCCTCCCCCGCCAATACTTTTCGTACCACGTATCCGCAAACAACCCCATCCCATCCGTAGTGTGGATTACCTGACCCGCCCTATACCCACCCACCGACTCAAGAACCTCCAAACATGGAATAGCTGTTGCCTGCTGACGTTGTTTTGTCTGCGCAACACACACGAAGACGGCCTATCTCCCCCAATAACACCTCCTCCACCCCCGCCATTACTCTCACCGCTTGGAACCGCTCGTCCTGAATTTCCCGCAACCGCTCTTTAAGTATCATAATGTTGTCCATCGGATAGACAACCCTCTACTGTCCCTTTTACATAACAACCTCGTAACCTGTCCTCCAAATAATTAATCAACCCAAATTTTAAAGAATTAATCCTTTTCCCCTCCCGCACATAATAATGCCGAATCCGGTCCTTAGCCACACCATTCCACACCACGTCACCACGTCCTCCACACCTTGTACCTCCTCAGTTAATCTCTCCCACAGCTCCCGAAAACCCCTAACCCCTCCTCATCTTCCAACAGACTCGTATTTAATTTCCAATATCCCCTAGAGATACAAGCTAGAGAATCCCACTCTACTTCTACGACAACCGCCCTATGATCTGAAAAAGCTAGGTCAATAGTACGGACAGACTATTGACACTACCTTATGAGATATATACAACCTGTCTAACCTAGCCGCGTAACCTCGCCTCACGAAAGTATGCTCCACCTCCCACGCTCCCCCACCTACCACATCCCTCAACTGAACGTCCACCAATAGATTGCGTAATGCTGTCAACATATGCCCCGCCCCTCGAGGTTCCACATCTGCTCTCCTGATCACACAATTCCAGTCCCCACCTACGATGGCCACCTCAGGTAAAACCACGGAAAGCAAAAACTAGATCATACACGACACAAAATCCCTCTTTACTTTCATATCATTTTCAGCTGGTGCATACACACTTACAAAGGTTACCCTCTGCCCCATCCACCACCCATCCACACGCAACACCCTCCCCCCCCACCCCCTTCACGTCTTTGCAACACAAACGGGCTCGCCTCCTTTATCAATAAACCCACACCACCTTTCA